CCCATTGAATGTAGCACAGAGTTTCGTCGTCTAGCTCGTGATAGTTGGTATCAGAGCACTTCAACACATTGTGACCCTTGCGTAACAACACTAGTGGTGGCACAATGAAGCACAACAAGGAACTCACTGACGAGATATAGAATGCCCTTGCCCATGCCTAGGAAATCGATGAGGCACTAGGCGATGAAGTCGTCACAGAGAAAGCCCCAAAGGGTTGCACGTCCAAACCAAGCAAGCGTGAAAAGTCAGTCGACAAACTTGCTGCCTTTGGCACGTGCATTCATCGTTGTGAGGTAACCGTTGGGGAGATGTGTGATCGAATAGAAGACATCCACCTCAACGTTAAAATCATCGAGATCTCCATGGTGGAGCTAGAGGCCTGGTTGAACGACATCTTGAGTGAGGTCCAAGGCATCCTAAATGGCACCCTCAAGAAAATCCTTGGCACAACATCCTGACAAGAAGGAAGTTCATCCCAATCCAACATCCAAGACCAGGTTAATGAGATGAGAGCTAAATGGTCAACATGGAAGGGAGCCATGCCCACACCCACAACTATTTAAGTACAATTAGAAGATATCAAGAGAGAGTGGGTGGTTATGAAAATAGTCATGGCCACCCCTATTGACCTCCATGCACAACTAGATGACATGAGAGAAGACATGACACTCCTAAAGAGATTAATGGCCAACACTCCTAGCCCCTCGACGACACTGGCCCCTGCTCGTATAAAGATTCGAGAGCCCACATCTTATGTCGGCTCCTGAGATGCTCGAAAACTTGACAACTTCTTGTGAAAAATGGAGCAATATTGCCTTGCCGTTGGCATTGATGATTAGACATGTTCATGGGCCGGGTAGCTCGGTCCAACCCGATCTAAGTCGAGCTTGGACAAGATTTCAAGCCCACGGGCTCAGGCTCGGTCCTACAATATCAAATCCAACTTTTTTTTTGGGCCGAGCTCGGGCTTTCTCAAAAAAGCCCGACCTGAGCCTGAGCCTGAGCCTGAGCCTGACTTGATAATGTATTATATTAAAAAAATATATTTTATATAATAAAAAAGCATATATATATATATATAATATTTGCTTCTCTTTTTTCAAGTAATAATGAGACTTTTCATTATTTTTTTAGGTTTTGAGGTCTTTTAGTATAAATAAAACAACTTTTAATTGAATTAAAAAGGAAAAATCTTTTTTTTTTCCAAATTTTTAGTCGAGCCCGAGCTTCGAGCTTCATAGTTGGGTCGGGCTCGGGCCTAAACATTTTCTTTTAATGTAAAGACAAAGCCCAGCCTGGCCCAGCTCGTGAACAGGTCTATTGATGATGATATAACTCAGGTTTGTACTGTAACCATGTATTTGACTGACATTGCTATGATATGGTGGTGTGGGTGATGCTAAGACATTGAATGAGGCACGTGCACCATTGATACATGGGCTGATTTCAAGCGAGAAGTAAAGTGGAAATTCTACCTGGAGAACGTGGAGTACTTAGCCCAGTAAAAGTTGAATGCACTCAAGCATAGGGACTCACTCCACGAATATGTCAAAGAGTTTTCATTCCTCACCCTGGAGATCACAGACATGTCTGACAAAGATCTACTGTTCAATTTCATGGATGGACTGAAGCTATGGACCAAACTGGATCTTCAATGCCGCAATGTGCAAGACCTTGTTACGACAATGGTAGTGGCTGAGCAACTCACTGAGACGACCTTGTCAAACGAAGAAGCCCCTAATCCAATTTGCCCACGTGCCTCAAATTTGAGTGGGGGACCAAATCACCCATGCTTTCTATACGACAACTCCAACTTCAACAAGTTAGCAAAACAAGACTATGGGAAGAAGCCACAAAGAAAACATAGTCCTCAACACCAACCACTGGACCTCCCACGTTTCTGTTTTATTTGTGGGGAGAAGCATTGGGTTCGGGACTACTCGACAAAAAAGAAGATCAATGCCCTTGTCGCCAAGCTTAGTGATGATGAGCAAAGTGACGAGGAAAAGTTCATGCAGGCTCCAAGAGTAGGCGCCCTACAACTCTTTAATGCCATGGTGAAGAAAGATGCCAATCCCAAAAGGCCTAAGAAAGCCCAAAGGGGGCTAAAGAATGTAGGCATTCTCCTCGACAGGAAGCCAACTCAGGTCCTTGTTGATATAGGGGCCTCCCACAACTTTATTTCGGTCACTGAGGCCAGGCGACTCAACCTAAACATTGCTAAGGAGACAAGGTGGCTCAAGGCCATGAACTTTGGTGCCAAGGCGATTAACAACATGGCCCGTGCGGTTGATCTCTAAGTTAGGCCTTGGACAGGCAAGATTAATTTATCGGTGGTACCCCTGGATGACTTTCAAGTTGTTTTGGGAATGCACTTCTTGACACAGGCAGAAGTAGCACTCATGCCTCACATCAACTCATTGTGCATCTTAGACAATCACTCCCCTTGCATGGTATCGGTCATGACTCCCACTAGGGTCCACAGAAAGCAAGTTTCAACATTACAACTTTTCCATGATGAGGCTCTCTTTGAAGCCAATAAGGAAGAAGCATTGAAGTTCTCCACACCCTCAGTTATGGAGCCACTTCTAAAGCCAACATCGATGCCAGTATGAAGCAACAAGCCATCAAACTGTCCTCAACACTCTAGCAGCAATGTCCGTGCCCGCCAACGACCATCAAGTAAAGCAGAAGACCCAAGGCCGTCTCCAACTTCGACCTCACTTACTACCACAACCATAGGGGAGAGTGAGTGCCACCCAAGACATTTAGGGACCGCTTTCGTGCCATTCCTCGGGCCAAACCATGTAGTAGTCCTGTGAGTAGTCACCCTTGAAGAAAACTTCATGGGAACTAATGCCCTAACAATCAAAAGCATCATTTTGACCATGACATGGCCCAAACCTTCCCTATAACCAAGTTGAACCATCCATTGTGACACCTTGATGCCGCCAGGAAAGGACTTAGCCATAGAATTCCCAAGCCCAATAAGCCACATCAACCATACCACCCATGTACATTCCTAGTCCTTGGACGACAACATGTTCATGGAACAACTAAAGAATCCTCCTTCTACAATTGCAACTCCAAGGGACCAACCAAAGCCGATCTCCGAGAACGTAGATCAAATTGAGTGGGGGAGACTGTCACAAGTGACTCCTCCACTGCGCCTACAAGCACCTTCCACCGTGCCCTCAGTGTGCCTTTGGAGTGTCATCAAGCACCTTTCACTATTTTGATGTTTCCTTTTGTCACTCCTCCAAAAGATTAACTTTTTTAGATGAAGTAGGTACTTGAGTGGTACCAATATCGTGTAAAGGTTGAGACCGGATCTGCTCCTCACACATGCCTCACATGCACATCCTACAACGCATTCAGAACATCTCTCATACATATAAGTTATTATTCACGGGAGATGTTTCTAATGCACGGTGGATGTGCCTGTGAGGTGCCCATATGCGAGGAGTAGATCCCGTTCCACAAAGGTTAAGCACGGGGTCCCCTCGACACAAACTTGTATGCTTATACTTATGAATATTTAATGTAATAAAAAGTGCCTTTTGACTAATTTGTATGTCTTCTTATTGTCTTGAAAAAGGAGACAAAATCTGCTTTAAACGTTTTGTACGATTTTTTTACACCTCAACGCCATTAGGCACCATACAAACAGTGAAAAATCGGTATTGAAAATGAATAATGTCAAATTTGGTGTTTTTTTAATAAACGGTTTACACAATTTTCGAGAGCATATAAATGACTCAACCAAATAACTCTTTAGGCGTTCTTCTATTAACCGCATATCCAATGATGAGCTGACACTGTTTCTTCAAAAAGCTACATCAGTACCAAATACCATCTTACTCGAACCTATTGAGTGCCGCACTGTCACGGGGRTAATTCTACAGCGGAAGAAACCCGTGCAGCGTCCAGGCCAAGGTAGGCCAGGACAAGCCTTTGTGTGCTCGGAGGGTAGGAGTTGCCTGATGAGATCGCTCCACCAAGGTCAATAGCACTGGATCATGACCTTAAGTCGCATGGCCGAGGCACTTGGTTGGCTCTGGCCGGTCCATGGGAGGCGCCACTTACGTGGCAGAGGGGGAAGGCCATGATGTGAGGCGACTGTGTGCCGAAGAGAGGTGACTGGGCACTGATGTAAAGGGTCTCTTGTATGCCGATGATGATGGGCACTTGTGTGCCATGTTGAGAGGCAAACACTTGGGCCAGAACACACCTGTGCGCTAAGGGCAACGGGATAGCTCAATCAGCTTGGGCAATGGGCTGGCGTGGTGAAGGGTCATGCATAAGCGAGGCCCGCCTGCCAAGCCTCCCTTGAGTGTCGGTAGTGCAGTGCCGGTCCATGCACTGTCCCCATGAGCATGTGTGCGCCCATGAGGAACTCTAGTAGCCATGCTAGCCATTAACCAGGGCCGCCCCGCAAGGGATGTTGGTTTAGGAGTGCCAAGGTTAGGCACCCAAAGAGGTCGACCACCCCTCCTCAAAGAGTATGTTAAGCTTTTGGTGGTGTGCCTCCTCAAATAGCCTTGTGAGAATGAGTTCAGGCTAATCATCACAAGGACAGTCGGTTTGTGCCAAGAGTTTTTCCACATCCTAAGCTATGTCTGTTTACACTCGAATCGAATCAGATGCCACCAATTTTTCGCTAGCTCTTGTCATATTTAAAAATTAAAATACACCAGACCTTTGATTTGATTACTCACAACGATACCATTTAAATGTGTTTGGGTGGAATATCTATGTGGGCTAGCTGGGCCCAAATCCAATCGCGAGACTAATCCAAGCTAACACGCACAATGGAGGTCAACAACGACTCCAGGACCAAGTATTACTGCATGCATTATACAGCAAACACTTTGATGAGTCTCGAGACTCTTGACCAGATACACTGAGAAGGAGCGGTTTTGTAATTCCCATTGGAAAACGACACAACAGAGCTTATTTCTCTTAAAATTTGTTCTCTGGTTTTGCCTTCCGACCCAGCAATGTCTCGACTCTTTCTCGTCGTCGTTTCCCTCATCCTTCTCGGCCTCCAAACAAACAGTGATACCGTAAATTCATCGTCGGTGGTTTGCAGATCATTTTACATGTGCGGTAGCGTTAACATCAGCTACCCTTTCTGGTACCAAAATGATAGTCTAAGCATAAGCGACACCGACTACTGTGGATATCCTGGCTTCGGTCTCTCCTGCTCAATTGCCGCCGGTGGAATCTATAAAACCGTCCTCCGTCTGCCCAAAGATACCTACCATGTCACCAACATCAATTATGCCCATCAAACTCTCACCCTGGTCGACGCTGACGTTACGATCAATGAATCATGTCCAAAAGTACGGCACAACATCACCCTCAACACCGTACCTGAATTGCACTACTCCAAATATGCTTTAAACCTCTCCTGTTTCTATAATTGCTCTTCGATCCCTTCTGATTTCTATTCATACTATAGTGGTAATAGGCTCTCCTGCCTTGCAAACCATGCAAATCAGCAGTCGTTCGTTTTCCAGGAGGGAAAAGTTCCGAGGGGGTTTGATTGGTACAAGAATTGTGAGGAGCACGTTGTGACCACGGTTATCTCGCCGAATTCGGTTTTGATTAATAGGATTAATCGGTTGCTGCTAGCTGGGTTTGAGTTGTACTGGGGAAGAATAAAAGATTGTTTTGTATGCGAAAACTCTGGTGGGCGTTGTTTATACAAAAAGAAGGAGCTGCTCTGCTTTTGCAAGAATGGAACCCAAAGGACGGAAAGCTGTTCCGGTTACGGTATGTTTAATTCCAATCTACCCCTTCTTTTTCTTTCTTTGAATTATTGCGAAAATTTCCGTCATAATTCCATGATCACTGCTGGTTAGAAGTTCAGTCCACTTTGGTTGGCTCCTTCAAATGGTGGATAACGCGCATCAACGTAGGCCATATTTAAGAAAACCTTAAACTTTGATGATAACATGGAATATCCATCATGGAAATTAAAGGAGCATTCCCTCAGAAAAAAGTGAAATTAGGTCCTACCTCTCAAATCTAATAATATTGCTAGTTGCTACTGCTACTGCTCCTGCTCCTGCTGTTATGTTAATTTATGTGGAGTATTATTATTATTATTAATTTATGTGGATGGATTGTTTTTGTTTTGACATGCATTGACTGAATCATTCTTTAAGTTTGAAAATATGTTTGCGTATGTTGATAAATAATCCTAGGTTGCTCTCAAAGACTGAATCATTCTTTAGTGTCCCTGTACTTGTCTACTGTCCGAACATCAGAAGAAAAGCCTCATGGCTTATTCAGGACGTTTGTGGCTTTCGCAGCGAGCAGGCGACTAATGCGAGCCATGACAATTGTTGTTCTAATTTCTAAAGCAACTTCTTTACTTCTAACTAGCATGAGCTTATTTGTGCTATAACAGTTGGGAGAATAGTTCTTAGCCCTTAAGCCCAGGGGACCGAACCGTGGGGTTTTTTTTAACTGAACCAATTTGATCGGTTTTTTAAAAATCTAAATTGAAATCGTACAGATGTAATTGATTAACCGCGGTTCACTTTTATGGTTTTTATTTTACACTCAAAATTAAGAAAAAAAGGGAGATGAGAGATGAGAGAGACAGAGGCAGAGCGTAGGAGGTGGCGGTCCTGGTGGAGTTGAGGCGGCTAAGCTGACTTGGTGCTTGCCGGCGAGGCAGCGACCGGTTTTGCTGTATGGCTGCGTGCTTGTTTCCTTGATGGTTGGCGTGATGGAGATGGAGATGACATGCGACAGAGAGAGAAAGAGGCACAGGAAAGCACCGAAGCAAGAGGAAAATTGGCCACTATGTGAGATTTGAGACGCCATCGGTCGGAGGACGACTGGCGCCGGAGGAAAAATTGGGGATTGGGAAAGACGAAGAGAGTCAAGAGGCAAGAGAAAGTGAGAAAGCCAAGGGTTAGTGACTATTGCCTATTACCTTTACTGGTCCCACTGTACAGGGGATGAATCTTGACAATGGATTGATGCCAAATCCACAGGCAGGATGCGGTTTATAGGGGCTACTAGTAGACTATGGGGGGTTGTAATTCAGAATTCTGCATTGGGCTGTAGTGTATTTAACCCTTTGCTTTTTTGGTTAACTAGTGGTGACCCTGCGATGCACGGGATGATATATTTTTACCTTTTTTATGTGTAGAATAATAGAAAAAATTTCTTTTCTTTTTTAGTTATTAAGCTTCAAATTTTTCTTTTTATATAATTTATATATTATGAGAAGCACATAAACCAATTGATGGTGTAATTATTAAAAGTACTATATTAATTAATAAATTTAGTATTTTAATAATTACTTTTAATTAATTAATAAAACTGTAATTATTAAAAATACTATATTAATTAAAAGTATAGTTAATACTGTTAATTAATAAAATACTGTAATTGTTAATGTTGTTTTTTAATAAATTATAACTTACATTATATTAATCAATAAATACATTAATTAATATTATTTTTGAATAAATATTGATAATTATTTAAAAATGCTATTAATTAATAAATACAATTAGTACTGTTAATTATTATTAATACTGTAGATTTTAAAATACAATAATTATTGTAATATGTGTGGGTTGGAAGTACTATTTTCTAAGCGGTGTCTTTTTTCTGTTTGGAAACGTTGCTGCCAGGTAAGATGTTTCCTGGAGTAACAACAACACTTTCTGTTTGGTACCAATGCTCTATGTTTGTTTTCAGCACTAGTACCCATTATAGGAAGTTCATGTCATTGCCACATCATCGTTGGCAGCAACAAGCTGCAATATGAGAAAATGCCAAATTCGGCATTGCTTCAAACCACACTTTCTCGATTTTCAAGGCGTAGCTTGGAGCACCGGTTTTTATGGAAAACGGTTCCAAACAAATAGACATTTCTTGGAGCACCGTTTTTTTTTTTTTATGTGGCACTGATATATCACTATTTTTTGGAGCAAAGACATCAATGCCAAATAGACGCATTATTACTACCCGTCTCTCTCTCTTAAATGTCTTTTTTCTCTATTTAATAGTGTGCAATATATATATATATATATATATATATATATATATATATATTAGGAAGAAAATTTGGTCAATAGGGTTGTGGTTGTCATTGATCACCAATCCCACTTGTGGTTAATAAAATAGATCACTGATTTTTTTTTTGGTAATTAAATAGATCATTGATTAACTTAAGAAAGACTTTTTCACTTACCCCAGACACATGGTTTCCTGAAAAATGAATGGGCCGTAATTAGTTTTTTCATAATTGGATAGATGGTAAAGGTTGTGTTTGATTTAATAGAAAACAAAAGAGAACCAGAAATATGGGGAAAGATTTTAAGAAAATTTGGTTTTCTATCAAAATCAAAATGTTTCTATCTCGATAAAACACAGTTGGTCATGGAAAGTATTACAGTATAGAATTACTATACTGTCACCGTCAGACAAGCTTTAAAGATTTGTTGGCGACTTTCCGGCGTTTTCGTTGCACTGGGCCTGGAGCGCATTTCAATCCCATTCTGTCCTCATGCATGCAACCGTTGAATGGCCACTTCTCGTTACTGTTCATATGAAATGGCCAAGCTGAATCGGGCTTGGCTCAGGTTTTGTACTAATGATAAGGGCTTAAGCTTAGGTTTGGGCCCGGCTTGGCCTGGATTGCAAGTTCAAGCCTAACCTTTATACAGGCCCGGACTGGGCTTACGGGCCTTTATACAAGCCTAAAGACCCATTATAGTGATGCGAGAACACTGGAAAGTTGCTCAATTACACAATCTAGACATGTGTTAAGCAATTAAACCCATTACAAAGCTTCTAGAGCACTTCAGTCATTTGGAGAACACCGTAAAAGGCTATAGAAAACTTCCGCTTTGGCTAGTAAATTTACATATAGACAGGACAGTGGGCATGACATTAGGGTTATAGACCAACGTTAAGGAAAATTAAAGACTTGTTGGTGACCGACTTATAGGATCTTCGTTGCCTGGGCCTGGTGTGCATTTCCCAAACCCATTCTACCCTCATGAGATGCCATTACAGAATGGGATTGGCCACTTCCTTTGATCTTCTTTCTTTTTTATTTTGCCATTATTTGTTTTTCCTTAGTTCCTAGCTGGAAGATGACCTAGACCTTAGTCGTGTAATGAGCTGAACGAAACTGCAAGATAGAGGATCAAAGAACCCGGGGTGGTTAACTCGGCGAGGTCGTTCTGATGCTTAAATCAATACTGTATTATGATTGCGAGCTGGACACTTGAGTGTTAGAATGCTAGTGAGCAAATAATTGCGCATACCTGAGTCTTGGGGGTTGAGGCCCTTATATAACTGAGATGTTGTAGGTCTCTCGAAACGTTCCCAGAATCTTTGGCCCGTGACGTTAGGATTCGTTCCGTTTTGGTAGGAGAGTAACATGTCAATTAATGAGATTTATCATTTCCCTCTGATTCGGACGGGGAGAAGATAAGGCATATGGTTATGTGACGTGATCTTGGGAGATTTAGAGATAATTGGCGACCTTCTAAGTTCGGTTACATAACATCTCGGCGTGTCTGGGTACTGAGGTGCTCTGGTGCCGAGGTGCTCTGACATACCACCTAAACTCCTTGTACCACCTAAACTTTGTAATGGTCTCTCGGCTAACGCGAGAAACTTTGTAATGGTCTTCGACTGATTCACTCTGACGTACCACCTAAACTTCTTGTGCGTGACTCCTTTCCGAGCTGCGGTGAGGCGTACTATTGGGTCAAGTTTCGGTATTTGTAAGCACGTTTCATTGAAACGTTTGATGTAGCTCCGAATTGACTCGTGTTCCCTCTGTACCACGTTTAGAAGGCTCTCTTGTAACTTCGGGCACTTCTTACTAGTGATGAAGTGGGCTGTGAACTTGTCTACGAACTGTCTCCAACTTCTGATGGAGCCTAGCGCGAGGTTCCTGTACCAAGCCCGAGCTAACCCTTTGAAGGTGGTGGAAAAAGCCACACACATACATGCTTCATCTGCCCTGACGAGATGCATTTGAGACTGGAACGTATCTACATGATCACTGGGGTCGTAGGATCCATCGTACTTGTCCAACGGAGGTACCTTGAAATCTTTCTGCATTGGGATTGCTAGTAGCTCGGGTGATAGGGGGGATTGCCGGCTCAACAAAGCTGGAGCCACTTGTGTAGCCAATGACTTTACTTCTTTCCTTTCCTTACTTTGTTCCAACGGTTGGTTGTTCTTCGCTGGCAGGCTGTTCCTGACCTAGGAATGGCGAGTCTTGCGACGTTGCTGCTATTGCTTCTTTACTGGCTCAGTATTAGTGTTGCTGACTTCTGTATGGTCAGGCACCTCAATTCTGGTCCACTCTCACTCCCCAACACTATCACGAGGTGGATAGGTGTTGGCTGTTGCGGGGTTCCGAGGAGTCTCGTCTTGAGCCCACACCTTGGGCCCCAAGCTGACGATCATTGCGTCGTGATCCATTGTTCTCCTACTGCGAAAGTTGCTGTTGGTTGTTCCTCTCGGGCTAGCTGACTTCGGGCATGTCCTTTGGATTCCCCCTTTGAGAAACTGGGGGAGTGTGCTGTCCGTTTGTCCTGCCCCAAGGTGGGGTCTGACCTCTGGGAGGGATCGGTACCTGCGAGGTCCCCTCACCCCGATGGGGAGATTGGCGGACATCTTGACGGACCCTGTGCTGATTTTGGCTCTGGTTCTATCTTTGAAACTAACCTGTGTGCTGTGGTGGAATATGCTATTGGCTTGGTTGTAGTGGCAGAAACTACTATTGGTATTGTTGGTAGAAATAATACTATTGGAACTATTGGAATTGGTGGATCTGCTGCATCTGGATCTGCATCATCCTGACGCTCTGAACGATGTCGTCGAACTGAGAACGCCCGACCCCATGAGGGATCACGGAAGGCTCTAAAAAGGTGGTGTTCATTTGGGGCAATGGGACATTTATCTGTTGGGTTGTCTGAGGCACTGACGGAGAGGGGATCCTTGAAGCAGTCAGGGGAATGGTAAACTGCCCGATAGTCACTAAGGGGCCTTGAGGGAGTGACATTTGATGATCTTGCCCCCTGGTGGCATTCATGTCAATGCCCTTACCGGTGTTGCTGGAAGATGCCATGAAAAAGAGTGTGGCAGTTGATGAAATGTAGTATTGACTTTTCGATCGATTCCCACAGACGGCGCCAATTGATAGTGTGTGATATGGAAACTCCTAGCTGGAAGATGACCTGGATCTTAGTCGTGTGGCTAGTTGGACCAACTGCAAGATAGAGGATCAGACAACCCGGGGTGGCTAACCCGGCGAGGTCGCTCCAATGCTTAAGTTAGTACTGTATTATGGTTGCGAGTCGAATACTTGAGTGCTAGAATGCTAGTGAGCAAATAATTGCGTGTACCTGAGTCTTGGGGGTTGATGCCCTTATATAGATGAGATGCCGTAGGTCTCTCGAAAGGTTCCCAGAATCTTCGGCCCATGACGTTAGGATCCGTTCCGCTTTGGTTGGAGAGTAACGTGTCAATAAATGAGGTTTATCGTTTCCCTTCGGTTCGGACGAGGAGAAGATAAAGCCTACGGTTACGCGACGTGATCCTGGGAGGTTCTGAGATAATTGGTGACCTTCTAAGTTTGGTTACGTAACACCTCGACGTGTGTGGATACCAAGGTGCTCTAGTGCTGAAGTGCTCTTATGCCTAGGGGACCAAGCTCTCGAGGTCCTGCGATCTAATATCGATGCACCACACACTGATCTGTCGTCTGACTAGCAGGCCACATCCACATGTCCTTACTCATTAGATCGGGCCAAATCACTTCTCATTAATGCTAAATGCTAATGTTATTTTGCTTGTGGTCTGGCGCTGATGGCCCATGGGTAAGGCTAAGGGCTAAGGCAGCACTATGATCCCGCTCGCTTTCTATGGGTGGGTCGAGCTTGAGCCAATCCCTCTCCTCTAAAAGAAACGGAAGTGAAACACATTAAATAAATGAGCCCCGGAGCTAAGAGTCAAAGATGCTGTTATTTGGTAAAGCGTTCAACTCAGTGATGGAATAGTTGAAATTGGGGGCTAGTGCAGTTGAACATAAATATCATAAGCTTGCTACGTACCAAACACCTTTGTTATATATATATATATTACTAGGCCCATCACCATACATGAACAGGCCTTGATTTTTAACTTAAATCGGAGTATGAGCACATTGTGTAGCATAACAGTAATTAGGTTACTCTGTTCGAATGACTCAATCTTCCTCGCACAAAGACCCCGTTGCTGGTGGGATAGTAGGTCCACCGTCCTTTTTCTTCACTTGTTATTTCTCCCATAATTGCGTCTTTTACAAGTTAAAACCCATTTGGACTTCAGTTGGTAGGTAACGTCTCTCTTTTCACTTCCCCTGTTTTCCATTTTAATATTTTCCTTTGTGAACCACTTCCCCTGTTCTACATTTTATTTCTAACTACTTCGGGATCACTGATTTTGTTTCAAAATTTATACTTTTAGAGGTGAACCACCATATATGAAATCTTTGAATAGTGCAGATGTATAGTCTTTGCTTTACTTTGCCAACTTAATTTACTTTTGTCAAAGAATTTCATGTACTGAGAGTGAGAGGTTACCTCAGTGCTCTAGACTTTCGAGAGATTCCTCTGCCTCATTCCATCTCTTGTTCCCTCTTAAGAGATAGTTTGTTGCTTTAGCCTCACAATCCATACTTGATCTTTCACTCTCAACTTCGCCCAATGCAGCCTCACGTATTCCTCCCATCTTCCCTGCTAGCGCTCTTCCTGTTTACAGCTATCGTCTTCCTCTCCATTGAGGTTCCATCAGCTTTATGCGGTGATGATCCACAATACTTAAACTGCAATCGCACTTTCGACTGTGGAAACGTCCAAGGAGTCGGCTACCCTTTCTGGGGAGATGGTCGACCCAGTTATTGTGGCCCTCCGGAATTCAGGCTGGTATGCGGAAACAACAACCTAACTTCCATTGAGATCATGTCACAAAGTTACCGCGTTTTGCAGATCGATACCAGGAATCGAATTCTAAAGGTCGCCCGAGTGGATGTGTTGGACGACGGCATTTGTAAAACGCAACCTGTAAACACCAGCCTCAATTTCACCCCTTTCACTTCTATTCCGAGTGATCTGTACATGAATTTGTTCTACGGGTGCTCGTTAGGGTCAGGGGGGCAGGGGTATCCGTATGATAAAATTCCGGCCAAAGTCAGTTGCCCCTACAATGGAGATCCAACTGAGGTTCTCTATATCATCGATCAGGTTCCAATACACGAGGACTACAGTAGTTCTAGTGGAGTATTTCGTTGGAGTTGCAAAGCAGGAGTATCTCTCCCAGTTCCTCCAATACCCACGGAGATGCTTGTAAACAATATAGAGTCGAACCTCAGCCAAGTTATAAGGCAAGGTTTCCAGTTGGGGTGGAATCTAAGCGACGCTTCCTGCACAGAATGTTGGCAATCCAGTGGACAGTGCGGATATAACTCCACTTTGAATCGTGCAACTTGCTTTTGCCGCCATGGATCCTCCGCAAAATCTTGTTCAGGTACCACTTTCCTTCAATCACTTATTGCAGCGGTAGGCATGCTTAATTAATATTTAATTAATTTGATTAAAATTAGGGTCCCTTTGGTTTAGTTTATAGTTAGAATTGGAATTGGAATCCGAACGGTGTATTTTCATAATCTATTTGGTTCAGATATGAATGGAAATGAAAATTGAAATCAGTAGGAATGAGTTTTCATTCCTAAATCCCAATAAAAGAGAGAAGAAATGACCATTCCCTCATTGTTCAGAATAAAGTAATTGCAGTGACCAATTCCAAACATCCTCGGGGGTTTCAATCTAGCTATTAATTTGTAGAATTGTAGTTGGTAAGACAAGACGACAAGACACGGCTTGGCTTCATCTGGAATCTGAACSGAGGAACGTGTGGATGGCAAATTAGTTATTTGGATGGGTGATATGGATATTAGGAGAAATGTCAATGTCAGTAAGACTTTGTGGTATATATGTTGAGATGTGCATGTCAATCCCAAATTTTTCCTCATGCAGTCGTTTTCATGAAGGAAGGACTACTTCAGAGTTCAGTCTTGAGGTATTATGATTATTATATATTTTCACCCCTCTTCCCACTACATTCCTTCTATTTGATCCACTTGAGCAGCTGTTATTAGATGACCTCTTTGTCTTATAATTAAATGCTTCTCAGAAGACCTTACGTACTGGTGCTTACAGCTGGGCTAGCCTAGAATCTCCATTGCCYTGACCACTCTGAACCTGAACCTGTGGCCCCGAGCTAGATCCTATTCTGTAAAAGTGAGCTGGACGTTATGTTCAAACTTCTGCTTAAATGGGGATGGGCTTCAGTTTTATCAAGCTTGACGTGTTATCCCAATAACATGATATTGGTTGGGCTTGCTTGGCTTTGAAGTTTCAAATGCTGGGCCCAAGATGGGCTTCACTCATCTCTCCTACATGAGTGAAGATTCTACTTACTATACATCCAATTTGTTGATGACGACTTGTATGTGAGCGATTGAAACCGGATATAGTTGGGCTTCACTCATCGGGTTTTGACCGAGTAGAAGGATTGGAACCGGACAGTTGGTATTGGGGGCTTGGAGCCGTTGGATCTAATATAATTTGCTCCCATTCATAACAAGTATGCTAGCCCTAACAAAACATTCCCTTGAGGTTGCAATGGCTTGACCGGAAAGGAAGTTCATTGAGCAGCATGACAGTCACTGGTTGTAGTCGTTTGGCAAAGGAAAAGAATGTAGTAAAAGGACTTCAATTATCATGGGGATAACCTACTACTACTTGTTGGTTTGGTTGGTGAGTCTTGGGGCAGGGGGGAAATTGGTCAATGAGACTTTGGTTTTCATTGACCAAGAATTTCATGTTCTTTTTTCAGATTTATGTGGGAACGAGGAAAAGTTTATTTTTTTGGGTATCACTTATCTGAGTATGTGGTATCAAGGTTCAAAGTACTGACACGTATCGGTCGATACGTGTCATTCCAAGACACCTCCGATATGCCCCTATGGTGAGTGTATCGGGGGTCTGACTGGTTCAAGGGATGGAGGAGCCCTAAACCGGCCCCCTTGAACTGGTTTCAAAAAAAAAAAAAAATAGTATCGATTCGCCTGATATGCCCATACCGATGTATTGGACATATCAGTATTTTGAACTTTAAGTGGTATCCATCTCCTTGGTGGGTAAATAACTTTCCGGATAAGTGTTTCCCAGGAAAAATTTACCTAAGTAATTGCATTTACCCGGATAAATAACTTACCGAAAAACAAACTGGGCCTTGAAATTTTCTTTAAAAATGTATAAATTACAATGAATTGGGTTTCATATCAATTCCGGTGTTTTCTCATCCCTTCTCCGAGTCATTGTCTCATTGACCTTGCAGAACTTGTTTCTTTGTCACTCTTCATTTCAAATAGAATGCTTAGGCCCAACAGGGCTGGAAATCCAGTTTCCAATGTAGGAGCTCGTCTTCAGCCACTCTTATCGAAGGTTCAACGTATACTACCAATATGGGGCGTATCCATGGATATGGATACACCACAGCTAGGTATGCATTCCATTCCACAAGTCGTGCTTCCATATCGGGCTGTATCACGGTGAATACAATTCGCTACACACCGATATGGAAGCGGTATTAATGCCTAGTTTGAAGACCTTGTATATTTATTTGTAATTTTTCGATATTTTTAATATTTTTTCTGCAAATTTTTTCTATTATACATCTTTGTAATTTCTGTTTTTCTTTGCATTTTCTGTGCTTTTTATATTTCCTACTTTTCCCCTACAATTTCTATTTTTCTT